AAGTATTATAGTAAAGCTAATTATTATAAAAACAAACTTTCATCTCCAGCCACTAGTGTTCTGAATCCAAATCGATCCTCAGAAAATTTTTATTCAATTAATTAATTCTCCTCCTGCCTCGGTCCCTTAATCATAGATTTCAGGACAACTTTTTTTTTCTCCTGGGTCTATTTGGCGAATCTGTGATAAGAAAACTGCTTGACCGCTCTGGCTACTTTGGGCGCGAATATCTCAGGATTCACGCTAGATTCATATATCTTGTGTACATATGCTCCGCATCTTCGATGCTCCGCAGATTTGGCATTCATATTTGCTTTATGATTTGCATACCATCTGCCCACTTATTGTATTCACAATTTGCTTACCGCTCCACCCTGAGCGTCTTGTCGCTCAACTACGCTAGGTTCACATATCTTGTGTACATATGCTCCGCATCTTCGATGCTCCGCAACCTGTGAACATATCTTGTGTACATGCTGTATTTATACAATTCCAAAGAATCTAGCTAAGTAAGATTACAAAATAGTATTTCTGAGATTGTAGAATCTCCAGCTAGGCAAGAAATATAATTAGTAATTATAATGAGCTAGAGATGCGAGAAATGAAAAGAAAATACAAAGTAATATAGCAAGAAGGCACTGGGAAGCAGATTCTTTCTTAGTGGGAATTCCCCCCTTCCCCCCCATAGTTGCTTTGCCATTTCTTGATTGCCGGATGAGGCACAAAGTGCCGAATTTGCAATCCATCTATTTGCCGAAGACATTTCACAATCCATTCCTTCACTTTTTGATTGCCAGGAATGAGGCACAAAGTGCCGAATTGGTGGCCCAAATGCGCAATTCCACCTTTCATGACCCTTTTGATTGCTGAGGATGAGGCACAAAGTGCCGAATTGGTGACCCAGATGCGCAATCCTGTCTTTCATAACCCTTTTGATTGCCGAGAATGAGGCACGAAGTGCCGAATTTGTGCCTATTCTTGCAATCCCGCCTCTTATATGTCCTTTTTGATTGCTGAGTGAGGCACATGCGGAGTGTCGAATTGGTTCAGGCTATATTGCTTTCATACCCTTTTTCGTGTATTCTCCTAAACCTTTCTGCCTTCCCGGTCTTTTTCCTGCCTATCACATGGTGACCCAGATGCGCCAAACTTATCTCTCTCTTTCCTATATATAATTCTGCGTATCTGGGTCACCTAAATTTGCCACGCTTTTGGCTTCTAGACCCTGTTCCTGTATAGTTACTACTTCAGGGTATCTTTGCATCGATTGCTTTGGAGTACTATTTTATATATTTATTGCATATTCATGCTAGTAATCTGATTAGAGGCCAGAATGGTTTATGATTTTTTATTTCGTTTTTGAGTCATACATATTACATTTTCTATTTTGAAGATTTGGGATTTTCTATGTAATTTTATATTAACTTCTTTCACATACTATCATGCTACTTGTGCAAAAAAAGCCTGGGCCTGGCCCTAAAATAATAAATGAAGCAACCAGGCTCTTCTCTGGTTTAGCCGACCTCGATTTTGAGCCTGGTTATAATGATCATATATACTTTCAATATCTATCCAATAATAAAAATGATATCTCTCTTCTAGGCGCCTATCATCCTGAAGAGATTTGGGGCCTTTGCAATAGAAAGGGGGGAAACAGCCGGAAAAAATTAATTTTACTTTATATGCCAAATATGATTTTTATGCTGAAATATGTTCAAATTTAGCATTAACTCACTTTTGATTTTTCCGGCTGTTTCCCCCCTTTCTATTGCAAAGGCCCCATTTATTCAAAATATATAGTTCGGGTGGCAGAGAAGGGTTTTACAGTTGTCGACCACCCATCCGAAGTTTATGGGTTACCCGATACTCATGAATGTATTGATGGGAGTCTGCCTCTTCGCCTGGTTCTTGATATTGACGCAAGGCAAAAGCCCGATCCTATGAACCCTGAACTCCCTTCCTTAGATGGATATAAAATTTCTCGAGAAGATTTATTATCCAGAATCTTAATTACCTGCGCTGATATTATATACTCTGACTTAAAACATTTCATAATTTTAAATGCTTTTACCTTGTCCAGTTTGTCTAATATTGATAAATGCAGTTGGCATATTGTGTACTCATATGCCCGGTTTATTGACTATAGGGACCTTAGGGGTTTTGTAGAAAAAGTTGCTGATAGGGTTGGAAAACCATACTCCGAATTCATTGATCTTGGGCTTTACAAATCACATTTTAGTCTTCGGCTCCTTGGATCGGCAAAGGAAGATAGAGTTAAAAGACCTGCGATTTCTTCAGTTAAACAAGGATATCTCAAGCTAGAAGATTATTTAGTTCAGCCTAAATCTAATTATTCTGAAATCTGGCCTCGAACTTTTTCTCCTGAGAAGCCAGAAAGAGAGGAGTTTCAACCTATTGAAGATGAAACTGCTTTAAGCAAGGGAGCTAGTCAAGTTACCGCAAAATATGAATGGCTTGAGATTGGCAACATTAGAAAGGGATTTGTCAATTTTCAAGCCCGGTCATTGGAAGCGTGCCCATTTGCAATATCAAACACGAAAAAGATCAGTTATATGGCTTTCTTCGAAGTAACGGCTGTTTTGTACTCAAATGTTATCGGCAGAAAAATTATAAACCAGATCATAAGGGATTAGTGTTTGGAAAAGTAACCGAAATTTCTACAAAACCTAAGAGAGGAATAGTCGAAAGAATAGGCGATGCTATATCAAATCCACGTCCTCTTGTAGGATTATCAGAAATGATGATTAATGTAGAAAAATTAAAGGATGCTCCAGAAGTATATCCCGATTTCTTGGGTATTGAGAAAACAACAACACTTATTCGTTCTCCTCCGAGACATGGAAAACCACTGCATTAAGAGAGATTATTATGGCATTGAAAGATAAAGTACATGATATTTCTTCTTTACCATGCTATATCTGGATCTCTTACCGAAAGTCTCTTAGCAATGAGTCAAAGTCAAACTTAATGAGTTAAAAGCATCTGGCTTCCGAATTTGCAATTACCAAAATATGCAAGGAGACTTATCTATAAATGAGTGGGATATTATCATAGTACAGGTTGAGAGCCTCTTTCGTGTTGAATTCACAGCCCGTCCATTTGTAGCTATTCTCAATGAAGCTAATGCCATTATACGCCAAATGTCTAGCGGTACAAATGCACGGGAATCTGAAAATGCAATGCGTGATGTCTTAAGATCTGTGAGACATGTTTTGGCCATGGATGCCTTTGCGAATAAATCAACATTAGCATTCCTTAAGGCATAAGACATTCATATAGTTGATAATGAATACCAGTCTCGTATAGGTGAAACAGTTGAATTTATTTATGATCCGAATAGCGGAGCTGAAGCCATGCGAATAGGATATGATCTTTTGAAGCAGGGCAAACGTGTGGCATTCGTATCTACTGGAGCAGTGATGGCTAGAGCATTAGTAGAAAAAGCATCTAAGTTGTCTAAGCCTGATAATTCACTTGTTAGAGCCCGTGCATATTATGGGGATATGGATGGAAAACAGAGACAAAAAGACTTTTCCGATATTAATGTTGCTTGGAGTGAGCTTGACTGTATAGCTTATACAAATACAGTGGAAGCGGGAATATCATTTGAGGTTACGGGCCACTTTGATATAGTTATAGCCATTACAAATATCGCAACTCTAGTTCATGTTGAGGCTCTTACGCAAATGCTTTATCGAATTCGTGACTGTCCTCGTCGTATTGTTTCTGTGTTTTATCAAAAAAATTCTAATGAACTTTTTCGTCCACCGGGTCGTAAAAATATCTGAGCAGAACTTGAAAGTGCTCGACCTAATAATTTGCCTACATCAATAAAGGGTCACCGTGAATGGGATAGCAACGCCGTTTCTTATAAAATCGATGAATCTCCTGCTGTAATAACATTTGTTGAAATTGAGCATCAGAAATGGCTTTTTGCGAGATATTTTATTGAGAAGCTTTGTAGTCTTATAGCCAGTACTGGTGCTTCTCTCCAACTAATAAAAATGGATGAGAGCCGAGGAGTTATAGGGAATCGTAAAAAAGTCCGCAATGAGGTTAGGGTTGAAGCACTAGTTATCAAGGAAACAGATTTTGATGCAGTTGCTACTTCCCGGAATCTCGATCCTGAAGAAGCTGAAAATCTTAAATTTGACCAAGAGCGCTCTATCCCAGATACTATGGCACTTAAACGTTTCTATATGCGAAATATTTATGGTAAAGATATAGACAATGAGATTTGGGATAATCTTTGCAATAAAAAGTTTGTAAAACATTTCAGTCCGCCCGAACCTCGGAAACATTTCTTGCAGTTATCTCACTCTAGAAAGCAAGGCTATGATGAGGAAAGTGCAATGAAAGGGTTAGAGGCCAAAGATATTGCACAATGGGAAGATAGCCATTATTAAGCTGGATATAATTCTGAGAAATCAGTAGCGGAGGACTTGCACAAATCAAATTCAGCTAATCATTGGAAAGTTATAAGAGAACTCTTTCAAATACTAGGCTTTACCAGCATAGATGATAAGCGTATTCTTTCGGGCAATATTATTTCAGAAGCATTCGCTCAATCATGTGAAAGATTTATAGAAATCCGAAGTCAGTCTTTATTACTCTTTGGTATTAAGTTTCATGCAAAAGAAAAGCCTGAACTTATATCGGCCATAAAAATAATCAATGCAATCGCTGGTAATTGGTGTGGCTATATAGTTAAAAGTAGTCGGAAAAAAATAGGTTCCAAGGAACAGCGAGTTTGGGAATATTCATACAAAATTAATCGCCAGCCATATGATGGTCTTGGTTTCGGAGATAAAGGTGCACCAGAACTTCCACCATATAAGCTAAAAACAGATAACGAGATTCAGGAACTCTTTGATTCTATAGGGCAGGAAAAATAGTACTTCAGCTCATTATTCAGCATTTCAGCTAGGTGTCTCGACCATATCTGATTCCATTTTATTTTTTTTATCTTCACGCCAGGCATTCTTATAAATTCCACCATGTGTGCTACAAATTTCAGTATCGGAATAGGTTCCCTGCTTACAGACAGGACATATTGTTCTAGGAAGGGCATTAAAATGTCTGGAACATCCTTCGGGACGCCAGCATCCTTTCCCACAAATCGAACCATCTCTCTTGATGTATTGGCATATAAAAAGGGCCATACAAGGTAATTTTGATATTAATAATCTCAAAACTTCATCTTCACTTTTATTATAGATATTCAAAATTCCTTTGCTTTAGCGCCTTTGGCCAAAGTTACAAATCCTACTCCCTCTTTTTGCGACTCTAGCCAGTTTTTCTTATGCGTTATACAAAAGCCAGTCCGAGAACGGATTGGCCTATTACAGGATGTGCACATTTTATTTGGTAGATACATATAGTGTCTGACACAGTATCTTTTCCCGCAGATAGACCCATCATCTTTCTTATTTAGGCAAGGCCAAGTTAGGTAATTCTTGTCCTCCGATTCAGATATGTATTCACCAAAGAGACCAAGAGGCATAGTACTTCTTTCTGGAAATGTTTTTAAGATTAATATACATTAAACTTATCTTCATTTTTTATTATAGATATTCAAGAATGTGTTATGTATCTTTCACATTCAATGCCGGTCTGCAAAGCGCCTTAATGGCAGAGCATAAGCTATATAATTTTTTGAATTGAATTTTTTTCTCACATAATATAACTAGATAACAGTTAGTATAGGCATGACTACCAAAACGGCTACCCCAAAGACCCGAAAACCTAAAGCTAATAACTTTGTATTGGTCTTAGAGCAGTTCTTAGAAAAGCATAATCTGACGGCTGACTCCACTCCAGAACAATTAAGCGAACATGCTCCCGAACTAAATACTTTACTTCCTGCTGATGATTGGATGGCCCGCAGGTATGTTAAAGTTGCCCTTGCCAAAGGTACTAAAAAAAGAAGTTTATTTAGCAAAGAGCAAATAGAAGCTCTCTTGCCAGATAAGAGAAAGGGAAAACTCACCATAGAGGAAAGGGCAAAATATTGTGCTAAGGCCGGTGATTTTGTAGATATTGTCACTAATCATTGGTGCTTGGGTCCAAAGAATAATGATGAAAATGAAATTGTTGCTGGCGCCTCACGTCAGTCAAAATTCCATGTGAAGTTAGCAGAAGGCGGTATAGATACCGAAATTATCGATACCTTTGCCAAAGATAAGGATCTTATCCAAGAATCTAATAAAATCCAGAAAAAGCGAACTAAGAAACGAATGGCTAATCCAGATAGAATTCCCATACATTTCTCCTTAGCAAATGTGAGTAAAAGAATTCAGAACATGGATGTTTCCAAAATTCCTACTAGAGAGGATCTTGCGGATGTGATAGTGATGTTGAGTATGAGACCAGGAGAAGTAAGGTCACTTCAAATTAACCACTATGAACCGGATCCTTCGAATATTCCAGCATGGTACAAGGATGGCTATTCTTGGTATTGCACAGGTTATTTAAAGAGTAGAGGAGAAAAAAAGGAAAATCCTGACCCCCGACCATTTCTTTCCATGGAGAAGAATCCAGAACGTGCCAGGGAATTACTCACCTGGATCCGAGATGGAATTAAGGCAGGAAAGTTGCGTGATCCCGTCTATACTGAAAGTGGAACACGTAATGCTTGGCTATTTAATGAATTCTTAAAGCAAGAGCCTTATAGAACTATGCCTGGAAAATTAAGAGATTATGGGAGTAAGCATGCTTCTAGAATTCATGTGGCCCGAAAGCAATCCCTCAACATCTTAAACTGCTTTCGAGAATCGCAATGAGGCAAGAATCGGACTGTCTTGATGCGGGAGATAATTATACTATAGGCGATACAGAATCAGAAGACTCTGGTCCTGAAGATGAACATAACTCAGAGCCGGAATCAGAGTCCGCAGAAAATGATGAAATAACTGATATTATCAATATGTATAGCTAATAAATTTTACTAGTACTCGGAAGACATTTACATAAATTTATTTTTTTTACTATGTTATTCTTCTCTGAAGCAAACGAGCATTTTAATCATCCGCCAGATAGTATCAAGTATGGCTAAAAAATCAAGGAATAATAGACGCAAGACAGCAGGTAAGTTCACTACTAACCCCACACAGTATTTGCCATTATGCAATCTGACCAAGTATGACCATACATATGATAGGGCAACTGACCTTATCACTGTCACAAATAAAAGACAGGATAGAGTTGTAGGCGTATTTGATTATCCCGAGCTATGTGAATATATGGTAGTCGGATCAGGCTCGGCCAATTTATTTTTCATTTAAAGATACGGCATATAATACAGACTATTTAGCCAAAGGCATTTCGCATGACGCATTCAACTATCTTTTATTTACCAGAACTATTAGAACAGATTTTACATTTTTTAGCGATAGATAAATCCCTTTATTCCGCCCTATTTGTTTCTCGATTGTGGTACAGATGCGGTGTTCCTATTCTATGGAAACGTGTTGAGCTAAAGGGAAAAGACCCATATCCTAAGCAATCTCTTCCAAATGATTATTGTGCAAGGGATCGCCCTCGATTTAATAAATACATAAGGATAGAACGTGCAAAGGATCTCTCTCGATTGAAAAAATTCATAAAGCTGGTATGTAGAAAGTAAGGATGGGTCCACAAATAGGCAATTGCAGAATAATTGCGATTTACGATATTGCGGACAATTGCGGAAATTAAGGCCCGATTCCGTAATTTCGGCCAAAATTAACATAATTTTGGCCAAAATATATATTTAAATTTATTAAAGCATAACTCCG